TTTCCTACTTAACCCATTAAGTCCATCATTCTTCTACATAAGTCATATGGTGTGATTGGGCTTAATCACACAATTCCATTCCAATAGCCCAAATGTGGGTCTCGATAAGTCCAAGCCCATAATCCCAAATTAGAGTTTTCACATGAAATGATGATTAGGGTTCGGTGTTTCTTTCTTAACCCATTAAGGACTTAATCCATTAAGTCCATTATGCCTTATGTTAGTTTGCCAATGATTATTATTTATATCTCAAGTTATTAAATAATTCTCGTGTGTGTGACCCGATTAATTCCCCCAAATTAAGATTTACTGGCATTAGGGTTTTTCCAACTCAAATACTAGCCCATTATTAATTTGTTGGACTTTTAGGTTATTTAGGGCTTTATTGGGCCTATTAAGCCCACTAGAATATTATTAAGCCCATTAGGGTTTTATTAGGTCCATTAGAGTCCATTAGAGTTACAAGGCACATTAGGGTTTACAAGCACCCTAAACGAATCAAACTCACAAAGCGAGCACACCGCCACCCGACACGGCGGCCGGTGGCGGCAGGAAGCGGCAGCCACCACCCTAAGGTGGTGGTTTTCAATTTCATTTCATTATACTTTAGCTAATTACACTTTACAATGCTTTAACCAAAAATAAACACATGCTAACTACATTAAACACACACAAACCACCTTGAGGTGGCCGACGGTGGTGCATAGCGGCAGCCACCACCTCACGGCGGTGGTGGTGGCTGTTTTCAGTTTTCCGACCAAATGAAATCACCCATCACACACACCCATATGTATTTCTGCTTGCAAAACGAATCCAACACCCACCTGTGGTGGGTGGCGACGGCAGCAACACTCTAGTGGCAATCAACGGCGGATTGCAGCGACAGCAAGGAAATGGCCACCATGGTGGGAAGCCATGGTGGTTCCCATATTTTTCCAGCCAACAGAAGGCATACGCACACACTAACACAAGTCAAGCAAGAGGAACACACCCAATCACAGCCACCCCCACAGTGGCTCACGACAGTCGGAGAGAAACGCCATCCACAGTCGCACCCGCTGCTCGATAAGGCGGTGGCAGCGTTATCTTGACGATAGAAGAAGAAGAGACGAAGTGGCGGTGTAGCGGCAACACAGAATGGAGCGGAGAGGAGAAGAGATCCGTCAGCGGGAGCATTGAGGAAGAACCAAACGACAGCGATGGTGGCCTCCGGCTTCATCATCTGTGGCGACGGTTGAGAAAACGACATCAACCCCGATGTCGAGCTCGATCCCTTCGTCGAAGTCGTGATGGCAGTCGCTCTTGGCTCACTGAAGTGTTACGGAGGCGACGCCGGAGGTGATAGAAGGAGGGGTGACGGCTGGAAGGAGGTGGGGTGACGGCTGCACATAAGGGGGGCGTTTAGGGTTTGCTAACTGGTGAAGCAAGTTTTTATACCCGAGGCTACTAAACATTATGCCATAACGACATAAACAGTCCCTCCTTCCCAAAATATATTCAAATTAAATCCTGATGATGGTATTTTTGACCCTTAAACTTTCAATTATGACTTTTTAACCCCCGTAACTAACTTCTTGCCACCCTATTCTGCTTTTAGGGCTATTATGTATTTATTACATTACTTATTTAATAAATAAATAAACGGGGTATTACAACTGTCATTGGCGTTTATACGCATCTCTTATTAAAGAAGAAGAACTTTTTGAAATTAAAACGTTTAATGACGAGCATACATGTTCTTCATTGCTTATACACCCAAATCATAGGCAAGCAAATAGTGAAGTTGTGGGAACCATAATACATGACATTATGGGTCAAGGAATTTTGAGAGTTTAGAAGCCTAAATATATAGATATGAATGCTTTGCTATAAATAAATATGAGTTATTCACAAGCGTGGCATGCTAGAGAATTTTATCTAGGATTAATGATGGGGACCCCCGAAGAATGTTTCTCCAAACTTCCAGTTTATTTTCACAATCTGAAGAAACATAATCCTGGTATTGTGGCGTACATAAAAACTGATTCGGATGACCGTTTTGATTATTGCTTTTTCGCTAGTGGATGCACGGTAATATATTTGTTATTTTCTTAAATGTTTATAAACAAATTATATTGTTGATATATTAATGGTTTTTATATTGTTGTTGCAGATACGTGCTTTCCGAGAGTGTTGTAGAAAAGTTATTAATATGGATGGTGCTCATTTGAAGGGAAAGTACAAAGGCACCATCTTGCATGAAGTGGCTATGGATGGCAACAATCAGATCTTGCCTATTGGGTATGAAATTTGCCCAAAAGAGACTATGGATTCTTGGACATGGTTTCTTGAAAAACTACATGAATGCGTTGGTGATGTGGAAGGTCTGACAATGGTCACAGATAGGGCACCCGCAACTGTTGTAAGTATTCAAAGTGTTTTTCCAAATGCTCAATATGGATTGTGTGCTTTTCATATAATAGGAAACATAGTCCACACATTTGAAAAAAAAAACAACAATATTGTTTTGGAAGCTGGTAACAGCTTACAAAACCACTAAGTTTGAATTCTATTGGGGGAGACTTCGTAATATAAGAGATAATGTAGCGACATATCTTAGTCAAATTCCATGTGAGAAATGGACCACTGCGTATTTCCCTACCACGAGGTATGATTATATGACCTCAAATAGTGTGGAGTCCATGAATGATGTATCAAATAAAGCAAGGAAGTTGCATATATTACCACTTCTTGAGTACTTTCGTGCACTTATGCAGAAATGGTTTTACAAACGCAGATAGCTGCATGTATGATTATGTTTATTTTTAAATTATATGATAAATGTCATATATAATAATATATGTTTGTTTTAATATATAAAAGTACAACAATACTTATGAAGTGGGCTGGAGATATGGTTAAAAAAATAAAGAGGGGATTCAAGGATCGTCAGTATCCGGTGTTGATAATGCAACATATCAAGTGCATGATTTAAAAAGTGGTGGCATAGTGAATTTGAGGGAAAAGACTTGTTCTTGCAGATATTGGCAACCAACTGGTTTTCCATGTGGTCATGTGATAATGGTTTTAACGCACTTGAAAATTGATCACTGTGGGCATATGACTATAGATGCTTATAAAATTGAAACATATCGAAGAACGTATGAGCAGGTCGTATACCCTCTTTCAGAACTTAGTGACTGGGAGGTGCTGGATGACCTTGTGGTTGTTAACCCTCATGTGATGGAAATACATCAAGTCAATAGACCAAAAAGCACCAATCATATTCCCTCTCAAGGTGAGGAACCAAAAATAAGGTGTAGTAGATGCCATAGCACAACTCATAATGAAAGGACGTGTAAGGAAATCGTTCCAAATAACCAAAGTAAAAGTAAAAAACGTATTGGGCGTCAGGGAGTGGGACAAAAGGGAAAGAAGAGGAACTGACACAAGCGACCGAAAACCAATGGCAGCATGAGCTAGAGAACCAATGGACGCAACATACCGAACAACAATGACAGCTACAACCAGACAACCAATGGACACAATAGCTGAACATCAATGGCAGCAGCAGCCAAACAACCAATGGACACAACAGACTGGACATCAATGGAAACAGGGAACCACATAACCAATGGACGTAAGGGATTGAATACCGACCGCAAGAAGAGCTACAAAACCAATGGTAGGGTTGCACCAAGTACCAATGGCAACAACAGTCGGATAACTAATGGATGCAAGTGACAGTAAACCTAGGGATACAAGCAACAGAAAACCCATGGACGGAATACGAAAACAAATCAAAGTTTATGTGGTTCGCTTTGAATGAATCAAGTTTATTTCATAGTATGTTTATTATGAAGGTTGTATGTTTATGTTTTCTAAAGTATGTTTTGTAACCTATAAAAAACATGGAATATTTGTATAATTTTAATTAGTTTATTTATATGCACTGATTTGTATTACGTTATTTATATGTATTTGGTTTGTATTAGATTATTTACGAAACCAGTTGAGTTAACTTCTACTTTATTTCATATAACATAAAATACAAAACAGTAAAAATACATGGAAAACATACATCAGTAGCAAACTTATTACATAAACATTTCATTATTTTGAACCTTTTTTTTGTCAAAGTTTGTACATAATAATCACATAAGGTATTAGTGTATTTAAAAAAAAATAATATTAATAAACGAAAATGAATGCAAAAAAACGAAAAATAAAAAAAATTAAAATAAAAAAACAAAGATTCCGAAGAGTTGTAGAGGATCCACAGAGCCTTCAATGGATCCGCAGATGGTGCTCTGCAGAACCTTTGGTCATTTTCCAGTTTTCTTGGTTATTTTCTTCAAACCACCTCCCTTTTTTGGTCATTTCTCGAATTTTCTCTGTGTAAATTTGAGCGTTTGACCTCTTGTATAAAATTTCATTCGTCAACCTTAGGCTCCCATTGTGGCACACGAGTTTTATATAATGATCAACAACATCGGTTCATATATCTATTTTACCATAGGCAAGATTAATAACAATGTCAATTTGTTTATATTGTATAATGCACCCAACACATATTTACCAAAATTATATTAATCAAAAGTGCATTAGATTTTTCAATTAAAAAAACTCAATAATACAAATGAAAATGTGTAAAATTCACCTAAGGGTTTTTGGCACTATAGCACAACAATGTTTTGGCAATTTGCTTATTCAGTCATTTATGTTTTTTGTGCTAAATTTTTCATTAATGTTAGTAAATACCAGCTAATTACACCCTTATTCACCCGGTAAACGAAGCAACCGATTGTATTTCTTACGCAACATTATATTAAAAAAGATTTCTTATCTTACCTCATCTATGTATGAAAGCGAAGTCAAAATAATCACATTTATTCAGACATCACTACACTCTTCTTCGTTCTTCGTTCTTCTCATTTCTTAGTGAACAAAGAGTGAAAAAAAAACTAAGGTTCTAACACGTTTTGTCCAATCAAAGTCAGTAACCAGGCAACCAACCGACAATGTCATCCTCGACGCCAAACCCTAATGGACACTGCCCTGTAGTGGAGCTCAACTTCAAAGGTGTATTTCTTCGAAATCCTTTCTCGTATAAACTTGGTATGAAATTCGCATTCAACGATCTTGATTTTTCTGGAATGACACACTATGAATGTATCACCTTTCTGAAACTGTTTTTATTGTGACAACCCGGAATTTTCATTCGCTCAAACCCTAAAAGTCAATCACTTCTTATTATAAGTCAATTACTTTATTACTTATTTTAGAAAATTTAAAGTTTGTTTGATTATTTTAATATTATTCTTTAAACGAACGGGTGAAAGGAAGTATCGTCTCGGGTCTTGAAATTTTAAACCGCAAACACCTCGTGTCTTAGAAGTTCACAGCCAAACTTTTATGTTTGGGTCGGAAAATCATCCAAAAAACTGTGAACTCATGCATAAGCATGAGTTTACTCCCCAAAAGCTAGTCATTTTATGTTTACTCCCCAATCACCAAAAGAGTAAACTCAAAAACCCTCTCAAGTATCGTCCTAGAACTAAATCAAGATCTTCAAACTTGTAAGTGTTCTAGCCATTCCAAGTTGATATAACACTTAATCTAGTGTTTGTGCATCTATTCATCCATTCATTTTTGTGTTTTGATTAGATTTCCAAAAACACCAAGAACACAAAGGACACACACTAAGTGTTCTTGGACTTTTAGCATATTCCAGGCTTCCTTATAGTATTTACTTCCATCCTTAAGTCTTATTAAGTTAGTATTACATGTTAGCATCAAGAAAATATGCCAAGAACACAAGGAATAAGGTGTTCACAGTCCAAGAATGTTCTTGGGCCGTAAACACCAAGAAAGGCACCAAAGTGTGCCTAGTCCTTAATTTAAGCCCTAGTTGGATGTTTAAGCCTTCCTTGATATGTCTAAACCTTCCCTTGATGTGTTTAAGCCTTGAAAAACACCAAAGTCCAAAATTTTGATGTGTTTACGGTTTGGGGATCTCCCAAAATTGTAAACACCCTAAAGTGTGTTTATTTGGGCCATATTCCTTCCTTAGGCCTAAAAACTAACCTAGACAATTACCTTGATGAGCTAAGGACTTGAAAACATAGCAATACCAATTTCCATATGGGTTTAAGGTAGTAAACCCAAATGGAAATGACCATGAGGCCGTAAACTCCTCAAAGGAGTGTTTTGTTGCCCTAGTCCCTTCCAAAGGCCTAACCACCAAGTAGAAATGCTTCAAAGGACTTACAAAACCTCAAAAAAAACTTATGGTCATAAAATGTAGAGTTTACGACCGTAAACCCTTGAGTTTACTGTCGTAAACTCCTTGGGTAATGGTCATTAAAACTGTAAACTCCAAAGGAGTTTACCCTTGAACTCCAAACACTCTAGCTTAGCCCTACCAACACATGGATGCAACCCTTGTGATCTTTGAACACTTAAATCAAAGTGTTACCATGTTCTAGAGTGTCCTAACTTATGTTACTAAAGATAAAGTGCCTAATTAGTTATTTATATATTGATTATATGATAACTAGGCTCGTTGTGTGTGTACAAGTCTCCACTTGTCACCTAGCATCGTATCCGACACTTCAAACCAATCCACTCACTACAGGTGAGGTCATACCCCTAAATTAACCTTTTAAATGTTTTGGAATGTTTATAAATACTTTAATGGGGGGGGGGGGGATACAAGTAGAAAACAGCATGCTATAGAATCAACCACATGTGATTTATAACTGTGTTTTCATCCAACTGATTTCACATGCTTCAAAATGTGATGTATGAAATGGTTTTCTATCTTAAAAATACTTTGTTATCAAATGTATTACTTTTTAATGTTTATTAAAATGACATCAAGTCATTGTTAATTATTTTTCAAAACTCTTAAATGTCTTACAAAACCATTTTCATCTTCTTGAACAAAACTATATCTATACACTTATGTTCTTATATATGTATTGATATAATTGCTTTCATCCTTCATTCAGTTTCCCACACTCTTGTGTAGCAAGGGTGTATAAACCTGCTTGGACAATCAATTACCTTCCAGTTAACTATTATAGGGATAGTTAGGAGATACAAAACATTATTCCTATTACAAGGAATTACACTAGAGTCAGTTCATTCATGAGTCTATACTATACATTACATGCTACATGAATACGTCTACATCGATACGCTTACATGAATACATTTACATATATACATTTATTGTATACACTTTCATGAATACTTGTACCTAGATTCAGTAGGATGAGTTACTAGTACATTATGTGTAAATTGTTCTGCCTATCCTACTTCAAAAGGGTAACTTGACGGGACTAACCATTCCGGAACCCACCTGTTAGCGATAGAGGTAATGAACATCTACGGATGCCTACGGTTAATACTTATATTAGGAGTACCTTTACGGGACTAACCATTCCTTAAACCTGCTACTAGCTACAGAGGAAAATGAACAATCTACGAATGTTCTAGGTTATACATTTCGGCAGTCGCGATGTCGCATTGTCCTAATGCAAAAGGATAATACTTTCATGGTTATACTTTTCCTATTACTTTTATTTTGTGTTACAATCACATAAACGAGGAGGTAGACTATATATTGTTAATAATAGTCATAAAAGGGAAAACCATCTTTGTTACAACAAAACATTCGGGTCTTGGTAGAAGACTTCTCTTATACTGATAGGAAATATGGGATTTTCTAGGGTTTTCATACTTATATCAATTGTTTCATTCAAAGATTTACATGGCATTCATAACAGCTTTCCAAAACAAGACAATGACACCTAAATACTTATGAATTCACCAGCTTTATGCTAATACTCGCTTTCAAAATAACTTGTATTCTCAGGTCACCCGTAGACAGGTACGATGGCCAGGTTTAGAGAAGACTGAGCACAGACAAGACTCGTCTTTTATTTTGATTTCATATTTTGGTGTCTTATTACTTTTAAAGAACACACATGTATTAAATATTTAATTTTAATGCAATGGATGATGTTGTTGCTTTTTTACTACTTTGCATTGTTGTGATACTGTACATGACGTCCTCCACCCCTGAACGTTTCCGCCGTTCTTGGTTTTAGGGTGTGACATATACTACTGTGAGCCAGGTAAGCCCTTATTATATGGGATAGCTGCTATTGCTAATGATAGAGACTACGCTTCTTTCATTTTTGATGCTTATGGGTCCGATGGTATAATTCCCATTTATGTGGACCGTGATGGTCAAAGAATAGAGGGATGGTTTGGCTCTGAGATAGAAGAGGAAGAAGATAGTGACGATTCATGCATTGATAGCAGTGAAAATGAAGAAGAAATTGAAAACCTTAGAGATGTGGAGATGGACTTTAATGATGATGAAGTCATTATGAACATAACAAAAGGTGATGATTTTGTTTGAAGTATGTGGTGAAGAGGAAGAATGAAATAATAACAACATGGGTGATGATGTTGTGGGGGTAAAGAGGAGGAAAATATAGCTCAACAACATTCGATTTTTAATGAGTCGACTCCATGGAAAAAACAGCACCCAATACCTAGTATGAGATTCAAAGATCTAGCTCAATTAAAATTTATGTTATGCAACTACGTTGTTCACAATGGGTACCAACTTTGCTTTGAGCAAAATGATGGGAAAAATTGTTGGTTAAATGTTGCAATGGTGAGTGCACATTCAGGTTGTGGGAATCTTGGATGAGTGATGAATCAAGTTTCCAAATTAAGTCTTTAAATCCATATCACAAATGTGCAAGGAACTATAAGTTAGGGTCCATGGTCACTTATGCTTGGATAAGGAGTCATTATACAAGAGAATTCTTACCTAGACAAAAGATGAGTGTTAGAAAGCTTAGAACAACTGTGTCATAGAAGTTTTTTATTCATGTAAGTGTTGGTAAATGTAGGATAGATAATAAATATGCACTCTAACTAATAGATGATACCCTACTAAAACATTATGCAAAGTTGTGGTCATATGCAGAAGAGATTAGGAGATCAAATCTAGGTAGCATTGTGAAGCTTGATGTAAATCATATGCCAAATGGGAAGAACTACTTTAGTAAGTTCTATGTTTGCTTTGATGTATTGAAGAAACGGTGGAAGTAGGGATTCAGGAAGATAATAGGTTTAGATGGTTGTTTCCTAAAAGGAATATGCAAAGGGGAGTTGTTATGTGATGTTGGAAGGGATGCAAACAATGAGATTTATCCCATTACGTGGGCAGTAGTATGTGTGGAGGATAAGGAAAATTATAAGTATAGTGGTGCCCAATATGGAAGCATATTATGGAAGGCTTGTAAAGCAACTACAAAGGTAGGTTTTAAGGCTGCCATCAAAGGACTTGAACTGCTAGACCCAAATGCTCATATGTATTTTATAACATCCCAAAATTTAGAGCCAAAAATTTCATTTTTAATTAGGTAAGTTATAAAAACAGTAGTCTAAAAACATCATCAGTGTCATTCAAATCATACTCAAACCCAAGTGTCAAAAATAAATACCATAACATGTCGTAGTAAAACAATATCTGAGTGCAATCCCCAAGGACCTCGTAATGCGGAAAATCATAGTGTGATGCGCTGCAATCAAGTCGGCTCCTTTTCTATTGAAGAAAAAGTACATAAAACCAAAAATGAAAACCGTAAGCATGAAGATTAGTGAGTTCCCCCATCATACCAAATACCATACAATAACATGCTGCCTAGCATAGTCGGGTGCTGGCCTACCCCCTTCGGTCTCTTTCAACTAGTAACCGCCTAGCATATCGGGGTGCAGGCCTACCCCTTCGGTCTCTTTTAACCTGTAACTGCCTAGCATATCTGGGTGTTGGCCTACCCCTTCGGTCTCTTTCAACTGGTAATGAGGACCATTTCACCCCTACCACTAACACATATCATCCTATTACATAAACACATAAGTCACATATTGCCTAGCATATCTGGGTGTTGGCCTACCCCTTCGGTCATTTCGACCAGTAACAGGGTCTATCCCACCCTTCCTACCACTATCACATAATATCATAGCATACTAATACAATAAGCATAATAGATAGTGACATACCATACATTTATCACAAATACAATCATCTCAATTATAATCAACTACTAGTGGGTCGGCATTAGTGCCTTCGACCACTTCTACTGGAAGGTAACTCACATTGCACTGCTGAAGTTCCCTGCAAGAATTCCTTAGCTGCTACCCTAGCAACTCCTCAAGCTATCAATACCAAAATATCACCCAATTAGCTTGGGTTCTAACCTGTGATCCATAATCCATACTTGGGGTGAAATGACCGTTTCACCCCTGAGCCATCAAGGCCTAAACTCTAAAATTCCATGAAAGCCCATCAATGGCCCAATTTTCCAAATTTGGCCTAAACCCTTACATTGGACTATCCTGTGGAACCCATTCTGTACTTCATAACCCTCAAAAGTCAACCTTGGTCAAAGTCAAGTCAAGGTCAAAGTCAACATCCAAGTCAAAGTCAACTCTCCGAGTTAACTTAACTCATCGAGTTGTCTTTCAACTCAACGAGTTCCCATAAACCATAGAATCGTGATACTATGAATCAACTCATCGACGTCTCCCTTAACTCGATGAGTTCTTTCCTTTTCAAAAGAATCGGGACATACTTACATCAACTCGTCGAGTTCCTTTGTGAACTCCTCGAGTTCTTCAGTATGTTAACCATTCTTAATGCATTAAGACATTTCTCTCGAACCCAACAGCTCCAAATCTCATTCCTTTCCATTATGATGTTTAGAAGGGTAAAGTTTCCAACTTTACCCTCAAGAACCATCTACTACGCTTAAGACTCAAACCCTAGTTTATTTAAAGGTGGTCTTGATGCATTAAGCCCCTAAAATCCTACTACAACATACCAACATATAGATCTGATGTCCCATGGTGGACACTCTCAAATTTCCATTTTTTGGATTCACATTGGACATATTGCATGAATGGGACATGGAGGCCATTAAAGTTTGCAACTTTAAGCCTCAATAGGTTATATATGGGTTAGATCTATCCCATTAACCCCTGGAAACCTCTTCTCTTTGGACCATTTGATCAAAGCCCCAAAACTCAAGCTAAAACTTCAAGAAAAGAGATTTAGTAAGCTATATGTCAAGGTGACGACTTTATACCTCAAAGATGCAACTCTTGATGAAGGGTTTCTGGATCTAGAGTCACTCCTCCAAGATAGGTTCTTTCCTCTTCATGTCTCCTTTAAGAATCACCAACAAATACTCTTTATGAACTCACAACACTCAAAAATGGTCTTAGGGTCTCGAGGTTAGGGTCTTATTTGGATCTATGTTTTCACTATAAGACATACAACTTTATGAACACAAAATAAACCCTAGCATGCAACCCTAGTTTGGATCTATGTTTTCACTATAAGACATACAACTTTATGAACACAAAATAAACCCTAGCATGCTTCTATAATTTTCAAAATTTACATAGAAGTGTAGAAAAACATACCTTTGTTGTTATATAGCAATAACAAGTAGTTTCCTTGATCTCTTGAACTCTCTAGAACTCTTGAAAGCAAGCACCACAATTGTAGTGCCTCTAATGGCTCACAAACACCTTGAAGCAAGAAGGCAACTAAGAGAGAGAAGGGAATGATGCTAATTTCGGCCCTAGGGTTCCCTTGGAATCAAGTGGCCTTAAATTGAAGCATAGGGTATGTATTTATACTATAGGGTGCTAGGGTTTCAGTCAAAACCCTAATGGACAGCTTAGCCACCAAGCAGCCCAAGAAACCTTATGGAATGAGGCCTTGGACGAAAATATGATGATCCTTCATCATAATTTCGTTCCCCCTTAGTCCATTAGGTTTCCTAGCCCAAAACTCAACTATCACACAATTGACAGTTTATACCCCTTTATTTAATTTGTCTCTTTTAGTCACCAAATTAATTCCTAATTAATTTATGACTAATACTAATCAAATAAATATGATTTCTCCTTTAATATATTATTCTTATAATATATTAATAAATCATAATATCTCCTCTCTCATATCAAATTACCTTGTCAAGTTGCTTTGGTGAAGGCAACCCAAAAGGACCATGCACACTCGGGTCAAGTATATACCAAATATGGTTACTGACTTAGACATTAATCCAACAGTCTCTCACTTGGATAAGTCTAGTAACTATATCTCACGTATTACTTCCGTACCCGATAGCAATCGTAACTTTCAATAGCCGCTGTCAACTCTGACCAATAACTTGTCCTTTAGATAAGGGATCGTATAATCCTCTGTTCTAGATATCATGCTAACAATAATTATTGTCTAGCATTTTATTTCTTGATCTCTGATTCGTTCGACATAGAACTCAGTTGAACACATCAACTTCATCTTGACCGGGCCCGGCACATAAGTCAAACCAAATCATCAAGTGGCCGAGATATCACTTTTATCCTCATAGAATAAAAGGAACAGAAAACCGTCGACTAATATGCCTTTATCATTTACCAGTTAAACCATACACAATAATGCGTTTTATGACATCAAGTTACTGATGCGTTTTCGCATTATCAATGTATAATCAACTAGCAAACAATAACCATATCTCTAGGTTTAAAGATTATATGATATTATCATCTTGCGATCACTTGTGATGACATTCATGAAGTAATACCAGCAAGTGTGGGTCTGTTCCAATGCTCAATACTAATTTCATAAGCACTCATAAACTTTGCAGCAAACCTTTGCTATGTCTAAAACTTTTCAGACAATCTACAAACAAATTTATGACAATCTTTCGTCATATCTACTTCCAACATATGAGCGATTGTGGACTGTTCGAATAATCTCATTATTCAGGAAGTCAAAACATGCAAAAATCGGAAAAATAGATAAATAATCAACACATGATAGAACTTTCTTATAAATAACACACTTTTATTTAATCATCAATTGTTGAGTATGACATTATCTATTACAAGTTTCCTACCTATCTAATCTGAACTAATATCGTCCTTCAGCCCTACGCTCCTAGCGTGTTGAAAATGCTTGACCCTACTCAGTCCCTTCGTAAGGGGATCTGCTGGGTTATCTTCTGACGATACCCTCTTCACAACGAGGAGTCCCTCTTCTACCCGATGTCTAATAAAATGGTATTTCCTGTCGATATGTCGAGATCTGCCATGATCCCTTGGTTCCTTGGTTAAGGCAACCGCTCCTTCATTATCACAGAAAATTTCCATGGGCTCCTTTATGGATGGCACAACTCCAAGGTCTCCAATGAAGTTCTTCAACCATATAGCCTCCTTTGACGCTTCGCTCGCTGCAATATACTCTGATTCGCACGTTGAATCAGCTACGGTCTCTTGTTTGGAACTTTTCCAAGTCACTGCTCCTCCATTTAGGGTAAAGACCCAGCCCGA